CCAACTCAGACCTAATCGATTCTACATTCTTTTTAGGAGTATAAAATGTGTGTTCCCCGAGATCGTTAAATTTAATTCAATTTTAAAATCAGAATATTTATGGGAAAGGAGATTTTCTTTAAGTACAAAGCGAATTACAAATCAGTTGCATTTGAACGTCGAAGAGTTGCGTTCGGAGGCAAATATTCCAATTGGCCTTTGCATTCGTCGAAAATGTTGATAAGCACCTAGCACTCGCCGATTATATCGTCTGCTGTGCTTGCGTGTAATTGTGTTTGACGCGGTTAAATTATCTCTCGCAGTGAAATTGGCCAATTTCTATACGAGTAAGTAGTATAGAACGGCGTGTGGTCAGACACGCGTTTCAGCTTAATTGCTGACCCGAGCCACTGAAACGTGCACCCATGAGCAAAATACGTGGAAGAATACCCCGATCACGTTAAACCAAACTTGCGCGTTAACCTTTTCAAATGAGGCTCACGTGTCTGCTTTCCTGTCATATTTCCTGTTTTCGTGTCGGAACTTTCCAAAGCTCGACTCGACTCCTAAATAGATGTAGGTAGTCCAGATCTAGGTAGTCTAGATCTAGGTAGTCTAGATCTAGTGTAGCAAGGCACATTGGCCAATATTTTCCAACAGAAATTTTACAGAAAATATCCTCCAAGGATTACCCATTCACGCATTAAAATTCGAACACTCCGCCCCCTATAATTCCTACGTTGAAAATTCTCCAGCTCCAAAAATCTATCCCAATCTCTCGACCAAGTTAACCGTTGTAAGGAGGCCATATCTTATTCCGAACACCCGGTATAAGAGCTGAGGGCGACCGTCATTTTTCGCTAGCACAAACGAGGAGATAAGCCGAGACGAAAGCTGGTTTGCGGAGCAGGATACGGCCCGCCAAACGACTGCGTTCTTTGTCAATCCGCGCGTGACGGATATTACGTCGGGTGTTTTCATCCCTGTCGGTCGTTTTCGGGATATCGCCCCGGTCTCGCCTCCGTTTGGCTCCTTAGGATCCCGTGGTGATAATTTATAGTTCGAGGGATCGAGAGACAAGCTCGCGCGTCGCGCGAAAACTGCTGCTCGAGTTACGAGCTTGCCCGATAAAAGCGCGTTCTAATTGGCCGAGCGATAAATTCGCCGAGTGGCTGCCGCCCCTTAAACCGTCGAGTGACCGACGACGATATATCGATGTCGGTTACGCTTTTCGACGTGCGCTCTGCGAGGAAAAAAAATATTTGGAAACAAGGCAACCGTTATTTGACGACTCAAAAAGAATATAAATCAGCAGAAAATTAAATAAATAACAATACGAGAGAAGATACTATATGGTTGCATGGAAAAATAATGAAACGATTAAAGATGAAAAATGGGAAGAAAATAACAAAGAGATTTCGACGATGAATATAAGAACGAAATAAATAAAACGAACGAAAACGCGAAGAAGAGTCAAGTATCCTTACCCCGCCCTCGTTAATTGATTCCCCCCGCGAGCTGTGAGGACGTACCCCTCTCGACGATCCATTTAGATCCATTTATCACCCTTCAACGGTGCCCATAAACCCGTCGTGAAAAAGAACAGGGCCCCTCATTTCGCATAAAGATTCTTTGTAGCACGGTCTGAGTTATAATTAATCGATAATTGGTCCGAGAACTTCGGCTTCCTAGAAACGATCGACGACGCAGCCGGTTGCATTAGCCGGTCGGGGAGCGGGAACGGGCTCGAGAATGAGAAATTTGTTGGGAAACGACCGCGGACAGTATCCAACGCGTGCATCGAGCATACTTTTTAGTTTATAGCTCGAGTTTCACGGGGGCAGGTCGACAGGTAATTTGGATGATCGTCCCCCCGAAAGTGCTTTCGTTCAAGATTATCGAATATTGGATTCCAATCTCGACTCGTTTCCCGCGTCTTTATTTCCCGATGAATCTGATATTGAAATGGAATGAGGCGATGAAACCAAACCGCAGAACGAAATGAATGGTTCGAGTCGATAAAATTCAACGGGACTTTATTTTCATCAACATCCCTTGCATCCGTAACTCGAACGCAGCAACTTCGTTGCTTTGATGTTCCGATTAATTTACAGACTCATTTTTGTCGTGGAAGCTCGTAGGATTAATATAGATGAATCGGTCGTCCTCGATAGCCTCGAATGGTTTTTCGTTGAGGTCACCTTTCCCGAACCTGAAGTTTTTGAGGTCACCGACGACAGATCTTAACGAACAGATTCTGGTTTTTGGTTGCAGGTACTGGCTGGACCGCGGCGACTTCAAGATGACCCTTCGGTACATGAATCTCCTCAAGGGGGCGTCCAGGACGATCGCCAACGACTGGATGAATGAGACGAGAATCCTCTTAGAGACCCAGCAGGCTGTAGAGACTTTGTTAGCGTACGCCGGCGCGATCGGTCTCGTGTTCCTCGGTGCTGGAGACTCGAAGGTCAGTCGAAACAATTAGAAACGAGAAGAACGCGAAACTATTTCAACGAACGTTCGCCGTGCCCCTATCAGTGATGGAAAAAACGTTCTAGGAGAAATTGTAATTATTCTATATTTAGGTGAATTTAGTTACATTTAAACCGAAAGGAATCCTAAGTTCAACGACGATTGAAAGATGTACGCGTGCCCCGTGACAGGTAGTCAAAGCTGTATTATTTTCTTTTTTGGACCATTTATAACGATTGGGAAAAATTGCGAAATATAGAAAAATATATCGACTCTTTGCGTTTTCAATGAATTTCGTTCGTTCTCGACTGTTACTTCTTTTTTTTTCTTTTTTTTAAAAATCCAACCTTCGTAACCTGTGTCGTACAAGTCGCGGACCTCTGCAACAGATGGTGAACAATGAACGCAATCGAATGAACCCTCCACCAGACCCGTCCTTCATCCTTTCCCTGAACTCTTCGTTTTTCTCTCGCGTCGACGAAACCTGGCAACAGTAGAGATTCCCGAAGCGTACCAAGGTAGAGAAACAAAAAAAGCGAAAGAGGACTGTAAAAAGTAAAAAAGAACCGTAGAACGTTCGGTCACGTGCATTTCGTTGTGATTCGGACTGTTTCAGCCGGAGCAGAAGTAAAACTCGGCCCGAAAATGCTGTCCATCGAGATCACGGAAGGCAACGCACTCAAAAGCACCGAGGGGGACACGGAACAGACACACAGACGCCCACGAACACACCGCCGACGAGGAGGAGGGGAGAAACGTGAACGAAAAAAAAAAAAACGCGGAAACAGCCCTTGCGCAATGGACAATATTTCCTCCTGGTAGACAAAGATAAAAGAGATAGAGAACGAAAAAAGCAGCAGCAACCTGGAAGACGAACGATTGAAGTTCGAGCCCTTCTTCAGCAGCCGATTTCGATCCTCGATGTTCTCGAACGCGCTTGTGTGTGAACTTCGAGAGGCAGTCGAGTCCAGATGACAGATGGAGAGAAGGAGAGAGTTACGGCGGCAAAATATAGGCTGCGGGGTGATTCGTGAAAAATTCTTGAACGGGGCGGAATCTTGGAGGCGATATACGTCGAAAGTGCGGGATGACGTTTTTCCTTCGGGGTCTTCGTTTTCGAGGGAAGCCAGTTGGAAGATCGGTCCAGTAGAGGTCGGTGGTTCTCAACGAGAAGTATTTTTCCCATAGATCTCGAGTCTGTCAAATTCTGTTTGCAAATGTGCGATTCTAGTCGTTAGAAGTTTGCATCTTACTCTTTGGTTCGCGTTAATGGCAAAAGGACTGTCGACGATATATTTGCCATTAGTCGAAGTCGATTTGAGTATTCGAATCCCTAGTATTGTATCTGTGTTCAATTACCAACAAAGTGTTCGGTTACGTTGGCCCGTAGCGCTGTTGACTGAGAATCACTGTCGAAAATGCGCTAGAACGCATTTTCAAAGTCTACTTTATCGAAAACGAAGACTCGTATTGGTTCGTTAAAGTTCAGCTGAGATTGCACGGAGTGGGAATAATCGAAACAAATGTTGCTTTGATTGTTGAGAGAACATCGACGATCGCAACGATCAACAAGAATTTTCTCGCTGTCTCTGGCGAATGCCTTCAACCCTTATTGCTGCAACAAATTTCAACGTTCGATTCTACCTTAGTTCATTCAGCCTTGCATTCTTCGAACTTAATCCGTGAGCGAGCATCGGCACCTGGGACCCACGCGTGGCCCCGTTTAAGCTGGGAGACACTTTGAAAAAAAAAAGTTCACGAGCTTGGCGAATCCTAAGGAATAGCCGCATCCATTCGGATCGTGGACGTCTCCTATTACTATCCTCGACTCGTATAGTATCTTCGCAGAGGATATAATTTGCAGAGAGTGTCTCGGTTTCGCGCGGAGATTTCGACAGAGACATCGACGAAAACAAACCACGACGAATGTTCCGCGAAAGCTGTAAATTTTGTACCCTTCGTCGCGATCGCTGGCCCCCCTAATTTTCGAGGCGATCCAAACAAAACAAAAAAAGTCGTCTTTCTATTTTATGTCTGTTCTATCGGTCCGAAGCGAGTTGTCGTTGCTTTTGGATCGTCTGGATCGTTCGTGACGAACGTGGCGTCGGGAGACGGGCGACTATCGGCTCGTTTACGGAGTCGACCACGCCTGTGGTCCGCTAGCAAACAATAGAGAAATGAAGAAATAAACGTTTCATCGATGCCGTCTGAACGGAGCTGCAAGTTATTTCCTACCGATAAACGATGGAGGGCCTCGAGTCATACTATCACATTCGTAGGAATAAGTTTTATTCCAAGTTTCGAGGAGCCGATCTTTATTTATCGATAGCACGGTGTCCTATATAAGGGCGACGGACTGTGGAATCGGTTAATGGAAATGTATCAGAGTTTAAAATCGCTTCGAGGCCCTCTACAGCCTGTTTCAATTAGGAAGAAAATCATAGGACCACACAGTGTCCGCGACAGGGGCGTATTGGATAGGGTAATGATTATTTACACATGTTGCTATTTAGTATTGTACCGCGTCACGGTTATGTGCTTTGTTAATGAGGGACAATATACAAAAATATCAAAAAAACAATAATAAATACAAAAATGTAAGTCCTGGGGTAAGGAGAATCTGACGCTACCATTCACTTGGTCAGAGATCTCGCCAAGTCTGGCACGACTTACAATCTGTTCTAAAACTGTTCTTTCATTCTCCCATGAATACATTCTTTCCCTGTTTAAGTTACCCTTGTGTTGTTCGATCGGCAATTAGCGCTTGTCTGATTAATCACTGGTACCGTTCCACTTGCCCTCTCATAATCAGGCACTTGTATTCCATGCAGAACCCGGACAGCGAAGGCTTGTAGTCTCATGTAGGATTACTGAAACGTCTAATCCAATGCGATTCACATTTCCTCTCAGGAATGACCTTTGAATTCTACCATGAATACAATCCACCCTCAACCAGCGATTCCCTATGCATCCATTCTATTAGGTTGTCCAAAAAGTTCGTGGCCACTTCGATATATTCAGACCTGTGCCACCTACCAAAAATCGACATGGACTTTCCGGACAACCCAATATTTTAAAGAAGGCCATTCGTCGATCCTTCGACTCCCTGGCGCAGGTTCAACCCTTAACTAAAAACATTGACATTTTCCAGGCCTGTCTTCAACTTCCGCGCGGCATGCGTCGACGAGAGTCGTTGAAAAAAAATGACTCGCATTGTTGATCCTTTTTTCCCCCCAAGTTTGTCTAAGCACACGCTGCGGAGCTTGTTTACCGTGTACTGCAGAGAGTAGCCCCGGCATTTAAAGAGAGAAATTGAAAAGAAAATGTTGACGACGTTCCCGTGTGTCCTCCACTAAACGCTGAAGCGTCGTGGTACCTTTGAGCATAGCCGAGAGTTTTGAAGCTGAAGGAGAGTCTCTTCGATGCGAGTTTTTGTTTTCATGTTCGAGGGCTGCAACCTTGAATCCACCCTGGAGTTGGTAATAAAGATTTCCTGGTGGATAAGGTTTCTTGACTGTTCCGAGGATCGAGTTATCGAAACTTTCCTGCTTTCTATTTTTTGTTTAAATTAAATATTCCACCTTGCAATGTTCTCTTCCCTGGTTTTTACCATCCTTCGTCCCGTGGTTATCAAAGGGCCCGACTTTGCTTTCAGCTTTCGCCAATTAAAAAAATCTGAAACTCCTCGGGCAGGAATCCTTAGAAAGCAGCGATAACGTGACAAAGCACAACTCGAGGCCATCGAGTGGACGCTCGTCCGAACTTCTTCGCTGGGATTTCTTGTTCTTTCGATCATCGTACCCGAAGTGCCATTAACGTAGCTCCGAATCCTTCGATCCACGAGCTGCCTTTACCTTTCTTTTTCCAATGAGGCGTCGAGCAGGGTCCGGGGTTGGCGTTAAATCGCGATCGATGGCCGTCGGCGGATCGCCCGGGGACGCCTGGCGTCGTCGATTGCCGCTCATTAACGACGTTAATGGTACTCCACAGGAAATAATTCAATTTCGCGACAGCGGAAGCTTGCACGCGGTCCGCGACGAACACTCTTATTACCGTCGCGCCGATAATAAACCGTTTCGTCGCAATTCCATGGTGTCGTTTCATTTTGCGACGTAATTTGCTCGCAAAATGTTTGTCGCCAATTATTTAAATTGGCTGTGGATCAATTTATATTATTTTCAATAATCGATCGTGTGCTTCAGGCAGCTACAAATTGCTTATTTTATTTTCTAATTGTACTCTGCGATTTTTAATTTAAATTTTAACATATTTTTTATATATATATATATATTAATTCTCGCGGGACGAATTATTAAATAATTGGCGACAAACATTTTGCGAGCAAATTAGGTTGCAAAATGAAACGACACCATGGAATTGCGACGAAACGGTTTATTATCGGCGCGACGATAATAAGAGTGTTCGTCGCGGACCGCGTGCAAGCTTCCGCTGTCGCGAAATTGAATTATTTCCTGTGGAGTACCATTAACGTCGTTAATGGTATGTAAGGTTAATATATATAAGGTTAATATATACAGGGTGTCCCAAAAGTCGGGGAGGAGCCGGAAATGGGGGCTAGCTGAGACGGTTCTGAACAACAATTTCCTTTGCAAAAATGTCGGATGGGGCTTCGTTAAGGAGATATTAAGCGAAAACCCCGACCAATCAGAGCGCGCGTAGACCGTTGGAGCGGCCGCGGTAGCGAAGGCTACGCGCTAGGTCGATGCTTCGGTGCACGTCGAGTCACTTGTTCGCGTGCAAGCGCGACCACCAGCGCGTAGCCTACGCTATCGCGGCCGCTCCAACGGTCTACGCGCGCTCTGATTGGTCGGGGTTTTCGCTTAATATCTCCTTAACGAAGCCCCATCCGACATTTTTGCAAAGGAAATTGTTGTTCAAAATCGTCTCAGCTACCCCCTATTTCCGGCTCCTCCGCGAGTTTTGGGACACCCTGTATATAAATATCCCAAATACCGAATATTTTCATCGAAAAAAATCTAGGTCATTGTTGAAGTCAAGTTATCCATTCTAAATGAAATATATATAATAAGAGAATAAATGGTACAAGTGTAGAAGAGTCAAGAGACGATTCAAGATGAAGGTGTTAGCAGTGTGTGTTGCAGGAAACAATAATCAAGTGGAACGAAGATTAACGAGGTAACGAAGATCGATCTCGGTGTCGTCCTAACGCCTGGTAATTGCATTTTTGTTTGGCCATCGTCTTGATTCCTAGTCCAGCGAATCTATCCTTTCGATAATATTTCGTTTGCGAAGTGACGTACTTCAACTCGACTTGTTTTGATAGACCGGCACGAATGAATAACAGCAGCCGGTAATAGAAAGTAGTAAGGGCGACGAAGGGCAGTATAATGCTTGCGATTTTTCGAATAAATCGAAAGGGGGTTTGGCTCCGTCCCGCGAGAAACGAGATAAAGCAAGTTAATCAAGCGTGATGCGAGCAACAAAGAAAACGGGGTCGTGGCGATTCCCGAGCAGAGATAAGCTTGCACCGAAAATCCGCCCCAAGACAGCGCAATTTTTCACGGCCGCTCAAGGAGAAGACTGCTGCTGGGTTTTATGCATCAATAAAACAAACGCCGCCCAGCGATGCAGCCTGGACTAGATTAGATAAGAAGGACAAGGGAAATCTGATTTGGCTCGGGGCGCAATTGAAACCTTGTTGAAATATTCGAACGAAATTCCATCTATAAATTGTCGAGAAAGGGAGAGTGGAACTATTCGGAATATTTCCGAGCACTCTGCGCGTCCGTCGAATAAAATTCGAGCTCGTAGGCTCCCTCGCTCCAATGCGAAAAACGATTGTCGAAACGACCTAATCTAACGTCATATTCGACAACGGGCGCGTTTGAAGCGGTCGGGGGTGGGCGGGGTTGACCGCGGTGATTTAAAATCAATTTGGCAGCCACGTGTTTACGGTAATGGCTGCGCTTGTAACGACCGAGTTCAATGCGGATTTAACCGTCGCACCGTTACCAATCGCTTCAATCTCGCGCGAAAAGCCACTTCTACGTCGGAACAATTCCATTGACGTTTATAACAGCCATCCCCTCGCCCCTGATAATGGTCACTGGATCAAGGGCTCGGATCTGGTTCGATACCCATTAACGACGCATCGACGTTAATTAACGCCGATCCTTGTGTCGTAATCCGAACTTCCTGGCTACCCGTTATATCGGTATCACAAACAGATTTGTCCAGTGATTACTTTCTGATCGTTTTTGATCATTCATTCGTTAATTAATGAATCAACCTCGGCCGGCATCTTTTCAAAAAACTTAGAAATTCCTTTAAAAAAAAAAAAAGTTAAAAAGAAAAGAGTAAAAATCTCGTAGAATAATTACAATTTAAGAAAGCATCGAACCTTGTAAAATTCAAGCGATCTTCTTCTACAAGCCCATTGGAGGGAAACGAGAAGGGGCGTTTCAACACGGTAGAGGCGTTGCCCCACCGTGCCAAGAGAAGACAAATCAAAATAATAGCCTGGTAATTTCGGCTTGAGGCGAATTCCAACCGACAGATACTCCGTAGGTGGATAATTATTGGACGACCAGCGACTGGCTCCGAAATGGACCTCGCGGAATTTCCGATTCGCAGCCAGAAAGGGGTCATTCCGTGCAATGCATTCCAGGGTGAACGTACTTCCTCCACGAGTTCTTCCTCGAGGATCGCGAGTGATGCTGAAATTTTAGCGATCCAGATACTCGTTTCGTTGATCTGACGAGATTTTGGTAAATTGAACGAATTGGTTTCGCTATCGAAACTTGTAAGACATGTATCTATGCTGATAAAAAAAAAAAAAAAGTTGAGAAATATTTATTATAGCAGGAGCTAAGCTTTTCGACGTAAACCACGATAGAATGGCCCCGCCCACTTCTATACCACGCCCAGATCGTCTCCCACTTCGATCTCTGTGGGCGGAGCGAAGAGAAAAGACGTGGAGGCGTGGTCGAACAATTTCACGACTTTCTATGCCCACGAAATGACGTTGTCTTATTGAACCTAACATCAATGTAAAAGTTATAAACACATACCATTGTTTATAAGTACAAAAAGCTCTACGTGGATTTCTCGGCCCTTCTTCGCCTTCTCCTTTCGTTACGAACGGGAGATACGCAATTCCGACGCGCCATTAGCATATTTATTGCACGTCAGTTTCGATCCCACGGTAGAATCGTCGTTGACCCGTGACGAAAACGCTGGGTAAATGGAGACAATGATGCGATTATCACTCCCACGACGTTAGATCTGTCGGGATAGCATCGGAAGACGGGGCGCTTCTCTGTTCTAATTTTGATGCGAGGCTAATGAAATTATTCTTAGCGGCGTGGGTGTAGAAACGCCTTTGAAGAAGTGTCAAAGGACCGATGAAGGGTGAAGAGAATTGTTTGATGATCGAAACAAGGGTGATATGAAAATTTCATCGCTATTCTGTCGGTTTTGGTAAACGCAAGTTCCGGAAGGGTAGACACTGATCATGGGATCTAAATGTTACGTTAAATAAATAAACTGGACCACGCCCTCAAGTGTTCGCTCCGCCCACAATAGGCGTGGTCGTGCCGACGCGATTCGCAGTGGGAGGAACGATATTTGTAGTGTCGCGAGAATGAGAAGGAGAAAGTGACTGGCAGGTCAGAAAAACCGTTAGCCTCGACTCGGTGGAAAACCACATGACAACCCCAGGCCCAGCGACGGTTCTCTCGAGAAAAGGGGGTGCGAATAGGCGACGGCAAAACATGACCATATTTGGTCGTGTACGTGGCCGAAGACGGTTTGCGTGGTGGAAAAATGCCTTTAAGAAGGGACGTTTCGGCCAAACGGGCAGATTTTGTGAGCGGACCAGTCGAGGTCGAGTCGCGACCGGAGCTATTTTAGTTGTTTTAGTTGAAGAGTCGCGTTTTACGAAATAGTTTCGTTTAATTAGTTCTTAGTTTCCTATACTTTAATCTACTATATAAAATAAAATCATTCTACATATTTTATATTAAATGTTATTCTTGTTTCACTGTCGCTTGAAAACAAGCGGAATAATCAAGAAGGAAAAAGTTCCACGCGAAGTAAACGAACCATTTCACCATTCAACCATGTTCTAGTATTCGCGCTCGACTCTCCCAATCATTCCCCTTAGGAAACGATCATAGAACTCTGGTTCGAATACGCGAACAGCCGGGAAGAGAAGAAAGTTCGTTGTTAAGTGATTAAAATTCCAGGAGGATCTCGTTTGTGGGGATGAGAGGACTCCGTTGGGAGAGTCGTCTCCTCCGGTGGCCTCAAGACTCGATTCGCTCGGAACGCTCTTTAAGGATGAGAGGAGCTGTAATTCTAGTTGTTCCGAGCGGAAATTCTTCGCGGCGGAAGCGACCATGTCTGATCGTTTTGCCGATTAATCTTCGTTTGGTAGCTACTGAAGAAGCTGCTGCTTCTGCTACTGCCGCTTAAAGGTCGATTCAGACTATGCGACACGGATCGGCAACGACACGTACCGGCACCGACACGACAAAACATTCAAACACGCGTTTCAATGGAACTATTCAATGGACACCGACCTGAACGTTCCGTCAACGGGAATAGTGTGAATAGTTCCATTAAAACGCGTGTTTTAACGTTTTGACGTGTCGGTGCCGGTACGTGTCGTATAGTCTGAATCGACCTTAACTAATGGCAATATATGCGCGAAGACAAGGGAATTCTGACTGCCTGGCATATTCTCCATGGAGTTTAACCGGAAAAGCTTTTGTTGCAACTACTTCGACGTAAATTTACTTACAAGAGAGCCAAGTAGTCAAAGTTCTTTGGCGTTTCGCCCGAGCAGAAAGAACCTGGGTAAAAATAAATGTATCATAAATAACGTTTATAGCGAGTAAGCAGGGGAAGTGTATGTATCTGGAATTCCTTTTTATTTCTTTATTCGAAATTCCTTATTGTCGCAACAATTCGTCTACGTCCATCGTTGGTATTCTTCGGTGCCGTTCCACGGAGGTTGTTAATTGTTGACGACACTTATTAAAGAATCGGTACGCTCTGTGAGATCGTTTGTGACAACAGAGCGTACAAATTCTAAAATAAATAACGTAACACTGCCGGGATCCCACGAAATCTGCTCGAGCCTGCATCTACGAACACGCCCCTCTTACAAAAAGTCTGTGGGCGGTGCGTAGAGACGAAGGGGGCGTATACTTTCATCTAAATTGCCACTGTACGCCTCTACTATATCCCCACTGCTCTTATATAATTACTGCCGCGCCCTTACTATTATATCGTCACTGACTTTATACGCCTAGGGGCGTAATCACTCGACAGCCTTAGTAAATATTTTCTATAAAACTTATTTAGTTGCAGAAAGAATAATCACTCCTCTTATCAGTTGCATCAGGATTCCTGTCGCAACCTTTGTATTTTCTCTTGTTTCGAATGATAAAAAAATTAAATAAAATTCTAAAATGAAGAGAATAAAATATTCCTTTCAACGTTTGCAGTCCTTTCTAGATTCCAGGGCGCCCTTCGTTTTCGAACGCTTCCGTGTGCTCTGGTTTCCGCGATTTTTCGGTCGACGATCAGCAAAGATGTGAAAAATATGCAAAACCGCTTCGAAGCGTTCCGCTACGTACGTTTTACGCTCGCTACGGGGGAGGCCCTGGAGCCGTGTCGGTGGAAAAGCCGAAATTCATAAATTCGCACGATCCCTGTAGAGCACGTAACGGAACAACGAGAAGGGCTACGCCCTCTCCTGATGAGCCTGGCCCATCGAAAACCGACGCGAGATGAGAAAAAGATAAAAGAAAAAAAAAATAATAATAATAAAAAGAAAAATCCGAGAGTTGACGACACGTTTGGAGATCTCGTAAAAATTTCAAACACGGCCTCCGCCACTCCTGTCTCTCGTTTGAGTCCCAGCGGAAAACCGTTTTAACTTCCTTCGTTGATGTAGAATTAAATTAATTAAACGAAACGAACCACGTCACGCCTGTGAACAAATTCCACTAATTCCACTTCGCTTGTGTAGCGAACTTTAAACATTTTTTTTTTTTTTCGTCAACACTACAGAATTTGAATTGTACTTTTCGTGGTTCAAATGATGAATTCAAATTTACTCTATAGATTCTTTAGAAAGTTCTTCTTCTTCATTTTTGAGTTCGCCACGATATCCATGTGTTCGTATTTTACGGTCTTTATTATTGCGTCTGTGTGTGTCTAATATAAATGTACAACTCGTCATACATATATGATTCTGTTTACGTGACTAAATAATATAATATAGTATAATTTAATATATTATAATATAATATAATTTAATATAATATAGTATAATATATATGTATATATATTTTTTTGTTCGCTCGGTCCTCTCGGCTTACATAATCGTCGATTAATCGTTAATCCTAAAATTATTTAATGCGTGTATCTTAACTGTTTTTTTTTCTCATTTTCTTGTTTTCGGTGCGATCCTTTCGTAATCCAATACAATTTATGTATAACGTCATGTATATATATATATATTTATACATTTATATATCTCTTCTTTTGTTTCAACTCTACTCTTTCTCGCTCTCTCGTTCTCGCGTGTGTTCATTCTCTCTCTTTTCCTCGATTCAAATTCACGAGACCGTCGTTTACGCGTCGAGGCACGATAGTCGCCGCTTTGAAGTGACAAAGTCGAGCAAAATCACGAGATGAATCCAAGAAGATGAAGGTGTTGCTCCTACCGAATTAACAGAAATAGTGCGGGATGCTTCCGTCGCTTGCATCCAAGGTAAAAATGTCACTTGAAAGCGATTACTCCTGTATCAGAATACAGAGACGTAGCTACAGGGTGCTCCTGAATTACAGGTACCGTATAGACTTTTGAAAATTCTTGATAAACGTACGTACAGAGACGAGAAGCCTTTTTCTACAAATCGGTACGTACCGCGTGGCAATGCTCGTACGGAACTCACCTGTTGTTATTGTACTGGATGTACGCGACATTAACGATAGGATCTAATGGCGGGTGACATTTGCGATAAAAACGAATCAAGCAGCCCCGTACAAAACAAACACGCTATACCTGACGTTTCGACGAATTTACATCTCTCTAGGACTGCAAAACAATTTCGTTTCTTAAACTTTTCGTTTAGCATCATACTTATTCCAGTACGGAGTTTATTTAGTCTTCCAAAAAATGGTGCGCGGTTGGGTTTTGGGTCGACAACGTTTAACGAGACGTTGCGATTCTCTTTTTGGTTTCTTTCCACGGCTTTGCCAATTTTTTTGCAAATCCCGTACTTCGAAAACACCCTGTATTCTCACCTTTCGTCCCGTGCCGCTCCTTCGACGCGCGTTCGTTTGAAATTTTCCCGATTTTTTTCCTTTCCTTTTCACTCTTTTCCCCGACAATATTGCTCAGCGTCATTCACTCGAGCCTTTCATTCGTTTTCATTCAACCGAAGTGCAGTCGCCCACTCACTCGCGCGTCAGCATTCACTCTTCTTCGCTTTCTTCCCCCCCCCCTCTCTCTCTCTCTCTCTCTTGTCCTAACGAGTGTTAAGGGTAACGAGCTTACGAAGAATCGGAGAATTCAGTAAAATATGTCTCGACGATTCCATTCGTCGATCGGTGATCGAGGTGTGATAACTTCGCGAACATTTTTTTTTTTTATCCAACTTTAAGAATCGAATAACAGCGAAAGTAAGAAAACCCTTCGACGTTCGATTATCCGTGCCCAGCGTTTCCCAAACTAAGGGAAAATCACCGTTAATCCCTGCGGTACGATCTTTATTTTACACCTTCGAGCAAGAAATTAGTTGTTCACCGTAAATTAATGATCACTGGAAACGATAGATCTATGACTGGATTTGAAAGGTTATTTGATATCGCGGACAATTGAAGTAAATTAATCAGACGCATCGTTTCGAGCCGCAGAGCCATAAACGATAGCGTGAACGATCCGTTGTCGAGCATACGAAGAACTCGATGAGATCCAACGAGCAGAACCTGACTCGTATCGAACACATCCTGAACCTATTCGACGACTACGGAAGTTTGGGAAACGCCGATCAATGTCAATGGTAAGTGAATTCCCTCGAAAGCGAAGCCTCAGGCACATGCAAGGAAGATCGCGTAACGGAAGCGTTGATCTACTCGCGAGAATTCACGTGTCACGTGCTCGGTCCATCTCTCATTCTCACGTGGACACCAGCGTTGGCTCGCGGTGTCCGGTGCGGGGATAAAGAAAAGGCATTATCGTTTAGACTTTGAACCTTTAATACCTATCGAAATAGTGCTCAAAGCGAATGTAAAACGTTACGCTGATTTAAAACGCCGGCTAGTCTCTCCCCTATTCGCCTCGCATTAATTTTGGTGCATTCGTTATGCTCGCGGCGTAAGCTTAAATAGGAGGTTGGAACGATGTCGGATTTCATTATCGAGCGTCTCTCGTTAATAATATATAATAAAACCTTACTCGCTAAGGAAATCGCCTAGAATTATCGCGTGGAGTGTCCGTAACTCGTTAAGGTATCGTCCAAAAAGGTGTTTTGGGTGTCGATATATATATATATATACATATATATCAATGATCCTCGGAATTTTGCCTCATTTTTTCTCTTCGTTTGTGTACGTGTGTGTCTATGTAGTATCTTTTCATTTTTTACATAGTTTCGCGAAACGATTCGAGGTAGAATGGTTCCCTTCTATTCGGTGGACAGTGTTCTGCGTTCGTTTGATCTAGGATTGAGATCGTCGATTCCAGACGAGGGTTCGAGCCAACGATTAACGAAGATCGATGTGGGTGGGACTCGAGTCGAATCCAGGCGTCCCTGTTTCTCACTTTGCGTTATAAAAATACATGGATAAAGTGTAAGCGAAGCTTGACGAGCTGATCTACGATGATCGTGGCTCGAATCCAACTGGATCGTACGTGTGTCGGTATTGAATGATGACTTCGATCATTTGGGTGGGGGCCTTCGGTCGTTGGACGCGGCTGGAAAACGTTTCGTCGGAAAATTGTTAGATCGAGTACGAAGTTAAAGGTAGATCGATCAGAGAGGATAGCAATGATGAGTTGATATCGTTGTTTCGCGTTGAGATTCGTTTGTGTTGCTGGACCTGCCGGTATAGCGACCGTTTAGGTCAGGTAGGCTGGAGAAATTTTGCTATGAGAGCCGTTGTGTATTTCTTTAGCTCCTTCGTCGCACGTATGACGGCGCATGACGCGACGATGACGGCCTTTCTTCACTCTAATCGTACCCAGACGCGTCACGACGAAGACCGAACAGAAACTCGATCGATCGATCGATGTATCGCGAATCGTAAAACTTTGGTCTGCCTCGAAACGTTCCTCCAACAATAACAACGACGTTTAATTAGTTGACGTCCGAGACGGGAAACAGATTAAGTTTAGTTATTATCGCTAGACTCGCGCTAACTTTAGATAAATCATCTTCGCCTAATCTCAAGAACAGGTATATAATCGCTAGAACTCTCTGTCGCTACCTTCTCCCAGTGAATAGGTAGATAGTTGTCCCCTACTTGTGATCGCTTGGCTTACGGGCTAGAATGAATTGTTTCTCGCTACTCTTTAGGAATCTCGTGGCCGATCGATCGATCGGAACGATCAATCGACCGGTTCGGATGCTGGTTAGCCTGAGAAGAGAACGGATGCGCTCGTTTCGCTCCGAGCTGCGATGGGCAAAATTCTTATTCGCCTAAAAACCTCGAACAACGAATAAAAAGAAAAAGTTTACTCGTTACTCGTCGAGTAGAAATCAGAATTCGAATTAAAAATATTTTGCAACGATTAAACGAATATTTAACTGGTCGATCGAATAAACGTCACGAATAATCACTGTGTGTTGGTCTTATTTATTATCTGTCATTCGGATACATTAATTTCTACCACCTTTAAATTTAATTTGGTGTGTCGACTTTAACGTATCCGAACGATAAATTCAATATATTAACTTCGATAATAATTTTGCCCATCCTTGGCTCCGAGGCGTTGATTCAACGATGAAAAAATAATACAGGAAACCGAGTCGGAAAGAATAGAACCGACACCGAGTAAAAGAAACAAGAACGGATACGCGTGCGAACTGCTTCCTACAACGATCGACTCGCACAAACCTCTACCGATGATAATTGACTCACACAAATTACCCAGTCGCGATAATTGACTCGTACAGAGAGCTGCCCTGTACGCGCGAAATCAAAAGCGTCTCTCGAAAATAACTCCATGAAATGCCGTACCGATGACAATACCGATCTCTACGAGGAAGAAACTATTTAATCACAGTGAGCCCTCGAGTTGTGTCTCTTTGTTATATGTGCACGTACTTACGTTCCTTTGGTTGCCAATTTTGCCAATTTCAGCTTTCGTGAATGCCTGTATAGGAATCTGTTCATATTCGCTATTATTAACTTAGTTACTCGTTGCAGCTGAGATTGAGTACCAAACGTATCGTTGGGAGAAAAGAAGACCGGTACTGGCAGTAGATTCTGATCGTACTAGGTCGGACACTCGACTCAGCCTTCGACCGATCGGCCGATCGAACAATGACTGTTCGCTGTTAACAGAGGACTGATCTTTCTTTCTCCGAGCAACACGTTTATGCATAACCGCGTAAATTCGAGGACTCGCTGTACCTCTAACGACGGGACGATTACACAAGATTCTTCTCATTTTCGATGAATTGTGAGCGAATGCATCGGAAACGGGGCAGTGCGCAGTCCCCTCACGCCAACGCTCGCGTCTTACTCTCTGTTGTATCTCAGTTACGAGTATAAGGCTACTTCAAGCGGTTACAATATGTAATAATCGACAACTTCTCCACTCCGTTCGCCGCCTATCGTCGTTTACACCGCTACTTGCATGTATATTCGTGGTGATGCTGTTTCATTTTTTTTTTTTTTTTTTTTTATCCCCCAGTAGTTACAATAGTAATGGTAATAGTAATAGTAGTAGTAATAATAATAGTAGTAATAGTAGTAATAGTAGCAATATAGTAATAATAATAACGTTATTATTATTATTATCCTCGCTGTTCCTCTTTTTTTTTTTTTCTTTTTATTTAAACTTGTTATCTGTATGTGAGTTACATATCCGCACGGTTCCTTTGTTCATTCTCGTTTCTGGTTTCTCTCGACTCTGTTTTCTTTCTCTCGTTCTCACTCACTCTCTCGCTCTCGCTCTGTCTCTCTTTCTCTCTCTCTCTCTCTCACGTTCACGCTCATTCTCCTCTGGTTTCTGGTCTTCTTTTTGTTCCACACCATTGAACGAATTTCTTATGATCTAAAAAGACGTCGATGCACGACCACGAACGAGGCATCGGGAACCCGTCCTGCGCGTTCGCCGCGCCTGTTATCGCGCTTCGATTAGAACGATTGTGGTCCGATTGTTTCCACACGTCGGCGTTCTTGCTCTCCAGGACCCTGGATCGACGATTGTCGGATGGTCGATCTCTCCGTGGACTTCTTGCTGCCGTTCAACTTCTACCTCGACCAATCACGAGCTTGGTTTTTTTTTAATTTTTTTTTCTTTTTTTTTTTGAAAGCGGTAGAAGTTCAGTTGGTCGACTTGGCAACGAAAAAACCGGGGAAGGAACGAAGGGGGAATATTTTGAGACGTGATCGGGGGGTGGAATTAACCCTCCGCTGCATGAATTTTAATTCATTCAGTAGGAAAGAAATCGTTCCCATATAATTTCGCGAATAGAAAATTTGCTGGAAGTATTTTTATCGAGGGTGTTATGCGATAGAGGGTTGCGACGAAAAAAGTAAAAATTTGGACATGTGAGCGTAGCGACCTCCGGATTTAGAATAATACGGAATTTTTGAAGCACCGTAGGAGCAATTACCCTATTATTTGTCCCGTCACTATTTGTAGCTACAGAGTATGAACGATTTCTATCCCCAGGAAAGAAACGGAATATTCTCTCGGGTCAAAGGAGAAGCTACAAGTATTTTCAGCGACGAAACGCAATAAGGAAGGATACGTCGAGATGGAAATGTAGATTCCCGTGTAAAGAACGAACGTTTCTGTGGAAAACATATAGGGGACGTACAAAGACGACGTAACTTATAAACGCCGACGAATTTTATTCGCTTCGTCTGGCACGCGACTCGAGGACGTATCATCGACGTATACCATTCTCATCGAACAGTCCACGCTTTTTTTTTTTTCCAAGTCGATGTACGAAGGATCGAAAGGGGTGGCAGAGGAGACGTACGTGGGAAGGATCGCGAAAGTTCTCAAATAAATTGAATTCGAGGACCGTCGAAGAACCGAGCGCCGTCGTCGGAATAGCTGACCGACAGAAATTGGAGGAGGGCTCGGTCGTCTCGAATATGGCCGCCAAAGCTGGCAGAAAGGGTCCCGTGAGAAATTATTCGCTCGATAACCGACACGGATATTAACCCGTTTACGCTCAGTCGACCAATATTTCCCCAGATGTGACACTTGCTGGAAAACTCCGGCGGTCAATCTATTCTGGCCGATTGTGTACGGTATCTTCACCCTCCTCCGCATCTATTTTACTCTGGGGTTACAGAATTAATTACATGAAATTTACTTACGTACAGACAGACGTAACGCTTTTATTTTTAATTTTAAATATAGTCTCTATGTATATTAGAATTCGTGCTTCACGTTTGGATACATAAATGAATTTCACGTAACTAATTTTATCATTAACGCGTCGCGTAATTTGATTTTCTTTTAAAAAATAATATGTTGAGATACCTCGTTTTTCAAGTCCGATAGTATATGTCCTCGAATCGCCAATTTCATTATTCGTGGAGAAGTCAACGGATCAAAGGATTAGCAAAATAATGAAGGAGCGAAGGATCGGGAATGGTGGCCGTCGAGAATCAAAGGTAAAAGTCGACCAAACGAACGAGCGCCCTATCGAGCCTCGTCGATAGGCGATTACGACGGAATCCCGCGTGTGTTCAGCGATCGACCGAGCGACAGCTATCGACACGTCAGCGTCCAGTCAGCAAGACGGCCAGGGCGATCAGGCTCGAACGTCGTTAGTGCGCGGTGCAACGTTCTGCGACCTTGTTCTCGCGTCAGATGGATCCCGGTGCTTCCGTTCGCGGGTTCTTCGTCGCTTCTAGCGACGTATTAGCCACGAAGGTTCCGCCCGACGAGGATCGCCGTCATCGTCACGGCGAGGATCACCGCGACGCTGCTGGGCGCCAACGAGGGACCTGAGTTGCAACCCTCCTGCTGGCAGCAGTACGTCCTCGTGCTCCAGGCCTCTGGAAGGAAAATACATCGTCCATTAGCACTGTTACTAACAAAATTTAGAGGAATTCAGAAGAATTTAGAGGAATTTTTGAGGATGGTACACGAAGAAGGTTACATTTTTATCGGAACTATACAGTTCCAGTGTTAAGGGTCCGATCGGGAGGCAAAAGGCTCGAGATTTTCCTTGTCCGGATTACGGTACCTATTCTACTTGTCTGACAGAAAGTATTTCGGGCGATCGCACATGGGCGCCACCGATTTGAGATTAGTGTTGCAATACCGTTTGCGTTCTTTGTTTTACCTACTCCGCTGTCTTTGTTTTACCTAAATCCACGGTCGCGCGCAACTAATTTCAGAGTGGTTTGAAACTGATCAGTTGCCCCTGTATGCGATCGGCCTTAGATTTTAATCCTCGTCTCCTAACTATTGCTTCAATTAAACAATCACGATATGAGTCTCATCTCCAGCAACGCGAACCATCTAACTTTTTTGCCGTATGAACCGTTATAAAACGGCGATAAAACAAAGAAAATAGCAGTGGAAAGTAACACCTAAGCGAATTTCCCCAGGTTCTAACATGTGACCAACGACACAACATCCCTTTCGCAAACACCCATGCAACGGCAATGACTCTGAAACAAAATTGCTTTTAAAATTCCTCCCTAAGCGATACGGGCACGGTTATTTTTGAAAGGCCCAACGTCGGAAGCCGCCTCGAAACGGTTTTCTAGGATACAGAAAAATCGCGCTGACGTTTGGCCCTATTTTTTCCCTAGTGGCACGGCATAACTGAAGTTGTTTCATTTATACCGAGGGATAAAAGGCTCCGGCCGCGATAAAAGACACACACACACGCACGCACGCATACATACATACGTACACACAGCTTTATCGAATATAGAATATCAAAAGCGCCTTTGGGCTCCTTCGGAGAGTGAATAACTCGCCTTTTAAATGAAACTAAAAAGCGCGGGAAAAGAGGCTCGCGAGTGAAAAGGAGAACACGCGTGCCAGGGAATAAGCCAATTCCGTTACAAATGTAAAAAACGCGGTCTACTTTTCCCCTCGGCGAATCAGGCATCGGGAAGAAAGAAAAAAAAATGCGAAACTTCTTAACGTCGGATGGGAAGAACTTATCGAGGCGAGGGAGCTCGTTAAACGGGGAAAAAGATAGGTACGCGAGAAAATATTTTGCTTAATCGTGCGCGAAAATGAGAATCCGACGAGCAATCGGAATGCGTTTAACGTTAAAGGTCGTCAAGTTTTCGTAGCTATTCAGCCCTTTGAAATCATCTTCGACGCCTGAAAAACGGTTGGGCCGATCGCAAACGGCCGCGACTGATCAGTTTTAAACCATTCTAAAACTAATCGCGTGCGACCGTGGATCTAGGTAAAACAAAGATAGTGGAGTTGGTGAAACAAAGAGCGCGAACGGTTTGCAACGCTAATTTCAAGTCGGTTGCACCGGTGTGCGTTCGGCCTTTGAGTGTTTCGAAGCTGATGAAACTCAGGTATAAGACTGCTCGTTGTTGGTTATTTTATTTAAGAATATATAACTTTACATAAAACTAGTTGTTATATTAGGAACACAGATAGAATAGAGATTATTATACATGTTGGTTATTATAATACATTTTTGGAAACATACATGGAACACGTTCCATGCACCACGCGCTAGCCGTAAGACGTAACGAACACTATGAACAAAAGACACCCTTCCGCTCATTGGCGATGCGGATACAACCGCATCTTATACGCTCGAATTTCAACACTCGTTAAATGGATATCGAACGTACCATCTACAAAACCGTCTAAAGTAACGATTCGATTTCAGGACGAAAGGAGGCTCGAAAGGTTCTACCTTAGAAAATTGCGTCGTTATTATTATTTTCTTAACGCAATTATCAGAGGTAAAGTATCGTTTGACTATTATCAGACCGTTCCACCAGCTCGAATTTTACTCGTAACGAAAATTTAACTGAAAGGCGAGGGGTTTCGGGACAGTATGAAACTTCTAAGCCGGAGGGTATCCCCTTTGAAAAATCACGTGCTTCGCGAAGTTCTCAATCTCCACCCCGAAGATTACCCGTTTTCGTCGGGAGCGCTACCTTGCTTTCGACATGACACACGGTGGCGCAATAATCTCATAGACAGACCGATCTTCTCCTCGTTAAGAATGATAAATCTGTCCTCGTTTATAGCCCCTCGAGAGACGACCGTAAGAAAACAGAAGTGACGCGAAGGGATGAGGGGGTTAACGAAAACGAAGTGAGATGAAAAATGAACGAACGGGGAACGAGGAAACAGGAAATCGACATAATATTTCGAATAACTGGCCGGACGATTTCCTGTTTACTCGGGGAGAGTTATCTGCCTCGTTTGCCCTCCGTGGAAATCAGCGCAAACTGCCACGGGAACGTGACGAATTACGAAAACACGGTGACTCAGAGAAGAGAACTTAACGAGCCATGGAAATGGCGGAATTAAAAGTATTCGACCCACATTCGCAAGGTTGCCCGTTTTCGAAAGTCCATTTCGCTTGTCCGAATGGATACAGTCGAATCTACTCGTCCGACCACATCCGTACCGATTCCACTTGTCCGGGGATGTCATCGTTAATTCTACTCGTCTATTCTGGCTCTACCAGTAGCGATTTTACTCGTCGAACATAAAAATTCCGATTCTACTGGTCCGACTATAAACGTTCCATGTTCGACCAAGGGCAACTGCAAACAGAGGCGACAACGACGCGAACATCTAGCATTGTCGAATTCCAAAGAAATTTCGAACAACTAGGTGAATAGGAACTGCGGAGAACGGAAAAAGATTATGACAGCAAGGAAACTTCGATGGATCGAGGAAAGAGAAACAAAAGTTACGAAAACGAAGCGGCGTAAATCGTTGGAACGGGATTCAAGGGAAAAGTTGAACGCATTGACTGGCAACATGTGCGCTCCATTACACGTCGAGGGGATTACAAAAGTTTCCTAGGGATTTTCAGTTCGAAAACAGGACGAAGGACTGCCAGGGGATCCCCTCCCTCACACCCCTTTCGTTTAATCGCATTACGCACGTCTGGGCGTCGTGACGACGAGAGTTTCTCGCCAGACTTCCTATTTCTTTTCCATTTTTTTCTTTTTTCCGTCTTGGGAACATTTTGCATGAGTCTTCGTCGCGTGGAAGTCGTCCAAGTCTCCCGAGCTCTTCGACTTCTCCGCTCTCGATTATCGTCGGTTATCTAGCCCGGCGGACAGAACAGCTTTTAACGACACTCGACTTTAATGGGGGAAATTGCGGCCCGGAGGACATACCCTAATGAATTTTCCGGCCATTCGACCGGTCAGGAAGGAACAGCTTCTTTGATTGTCGCTATTTCGATTATAGAAACGATCCTTGGACGATCCTCCTCGAGATCCGAGGCAAAAATTCATCGATACTGGTTTACCTTTGACCGTCCGACGACCTCGGTGGATCATTCACTGTTTGCGCGAATAGAATAAATTAGAGGAGACGAAGAATTAGGTTTCGGTTCTTTCAGACATCCTTGTTCGTAAAATGATGTCTGAAAAATTCATCGAAGGAATAACGAGATATTGGGTTGTCCGGAAAGTCCATGTCGATTTTTGGTAGGTGGCACAGGTCTGAATACATCGAAGTGGTTGAGAACGAATAACATGCATACATCCCTTAAAAGGTAGAAAGGTTGTGGAACAAAATGGCGTCTATGTAATTTAATAAATATATATTAAAATTCAAACGTGTTTTTGAATATGTTTCTTCGAAACTGCCACGAACTTTCTGGACAACCTAATACGAAGAATAGTAAAATCTTATTTATAATTCAGTAATAAGTAGAAAGTGTACACCAATGGTCAGACAAGCGGATTCAGTTCGCACGACGGCACTGAAAATAAATGGAAGCAAGCCTTTCATTCCTCTCCGAAGAAATATATTTTACCTTCCTGAAACATTCTGATCGATCACTTTTTAAGTAGGTTTGCTTCAAAGGAAAGCGAGAGTACTCTAATAAAAATGGAGCCGGGAACACTCGGAGGATTGGTTCCAGGCAGCAAAGAAGAGAAATCCTTAGAAATCGACGGTGGGCTGGAGTGAATCTCGGCGAGTTCATGGGGGATGATACGGTTACGCGAGGTCAAAGGTCCGAGGCGAAAAATCACGGAGTCGTCTCATTCTCCCGTCGAGCGTGGAGCTGGTGCTCCAATTTCCAGGCGGTGTAGGTACCATTCGAAGAGTAGCAATTCCAGCGCGGTTCGTGCGGTAAACCGCGCGCACTGGATTCGACGTGCTCGCGCGTGCAGCTCGGATTTCAAAGCGGGCACGCGGATCGTCGTCTTCGACGAGGGAGAAAGAGAGAGAGAGAGAGAGGTCTTCGATTCGCATGGAATACCCCTTGTTGCCTTTCAACGAGTAGCATCGACCTTCCCCCTCGGTTGCTTTCGAAAGAAACTCGAGCCAGGGATCTTGTGTCTGCGCTTTTTCCCCATCTGCGATTGATCCGCGCTGGTATCTTCGACGGAACTGTTGAACTTTTCAGAGAGCTTTTCAAAATGATCCTCGATCCTCGTGGAAACGAGAAATTATACAAACAGCGGGATGGGAATTTTCGTCATCCGTTCCAGTCGATTGGAGGATACTTCGTGTAGCTCGGTTTTAGCAGTTGTTGAAATGTATGATGGCCAGGCAAGTGGAATGAGTACGTAGATGATCAGACAAGGGGATTCGGTACTAGACTAGATTCATAACTAGACAAGTGAAGTAGGTGTCGTCGATGGCTAGACAAACTTTGTTTCCAATTACGAAAGCGAGCGAAGAAGAGATTCCCTTGTAGATATAACTTATAAAGTCCCTCATAAATCTCTTGGACTTCATCAGCAAGAAACTGAAGCGAAGATTGCAACAGGTCTTCTACGAACCGGCCAGAATGAATTCAAGACTTAATGATTTCTTTTCGCGCCACTTTCGCTTAAGATTCCTCCTACTCTTTCGATCGCATCGACGGATGGATTATTCCAGGCGGAAATTGCCCCGAGCTTTGAAAGCTGGGTGTATCGAACATAAATTTTCGTCTACTAAATTTTATTATACGTAATGGAGGCACGTCGTCGCGCATATAGACAAATCGATTACGATCATTTGCGTGGAATAACAAGAACGACGCGTAATTGTTTCGCTGCTCATTCTCGAATTATTCTCCCTCGCGGACACCCCTTTTTCGGAGGACAAGTTTCAACGTGAGTTTAATTGCGTTAGAGGCGAGTGGGGGAAATTTGTTTGTCCGTTTATAATAGTCGGCAATTAACGTACGGATGTTATTGCCGTATCATCCGCGACGGGAGTACCGAAGTTTCATTTATTAACCCGTTAGTTTTCGTTTAAATGTTTATTAACATTGTTGTATAAAATGATGCTCCAGCGAATCGTTTCCGCTTCGAGAGTTTGAAATTCACGAAATTCGGGACACGGGTAATTGTTTCTAATGCGCGATCCTAAATTGGGCTGTCGCGAATGTTGGGTTGGTAGGAAAAATGAAGAGCTCACCCTTTTCCACACACGTCGGGACGCAATCTCGGACTGTCGAGCCCTCGCTGACATATTTCTGAAACAGAAAAAGGACCGATCAGTTGTGTGCCGAGCTCTCGCGAGAACTCTACTTATTTAATTTAAAAAATTAACAAAGTAATTACTGTGGAAGGATTTGTTTTTTTTTGTTAATGAATTGTCTAATAAAAATACGACATTAACGAGACGAATATTTCAAGTACGAGTAACGTCGTACCATCCGAACGTTGAAAAGGGAAAAAAGCGTGCATTTTTCCGCCATGTGAAAAATCACGCAGACACCTGTGCGGATAGGGGTGCTTCGATAAATCGCCGAGGGGCAGTTATTTAAACTAGCGTCGAACAATTAACCCGCATTCCCGGGTTGCGTTAAATTCGCGAATTTTCCCAGTACCCATTAGCTGTCCGACAACTGTTTTATTTACGCAGACCGATGAAATCGCTGCGCGTCGATTCGACTTTTTCCATTTGTGCGTTTCGCTATCGTCGGTGAAAAATATTCCACAGCGAGAGTGGAATTTTGTCAGGTTTCGTTTACATACCATACAAGTTGCGTAATATTTAAGTAGCGCCCAGTAAAAAATATTTGAACGTAGGCGTTCCCACGATATATCTTTTAAAAGATCCGTTACTCACGAACGATTTAGACGTTTGCTTTTTCACGGAAACTGTCGATCTGTAGTGCACTGAATCGCGCACAGGTATTTTTATCAGTCAGTTTTTCACGCGTAACGAGCATCTGTCGTGTCGATTGATAATTTAGATTCTTGCTCTACGGCGAACGTGAAAGACTACTTTCATGCATGGCTAGTTCCATCGATATTTATCTCGAAACGTGCGCCCTTCTGAACCATACGAAATAAAAAAAAAATGACACGCAAGAAATAGTGTACCATACCAGGCGATTCTAGGCAGTTCAAACGTTCCAAATTCAAATGTAATATAACACGTCTTAAACTTCTCAAGAATAAATCAGAATATTACGGAATATCCTTGAACATCCAGGAGTGTCTAGTATGCCTCGACTCCTTCGGCTCTTTTCAAGAAACACAGAACTCTCATTTTCGTCGGGTGACCCCAATTTTATCGAAAGACTCCCCTTTCCTATCACCTGGCCGTTTCAACGTTAGAAGCCCGAGCTCCGGTCCTAGCTAAGCGAAATGGTGATTAGAAAGGACGGGGTCGTCACTCGGGGTCGTCCTGTATTCTCTGATTGGACGAATTCGAAGTACCACGATGCAGACTGCGTCATAGGCGGGCAGTGATCGATACCCGACGATTATAACGCCCCGAGGACGTCGTACATATTAAACCCTCCGCAACTCCTCCGCTGTTCCCGTACATATTAAACTCTTCCTGTTCCACCCTCATCCCTCCCTCCTCCCTAACCACTCGTGGCCTCTTCCGTGGATTCGTCAACGATTCCAAGAATATTCGGGCCGCGCACGATCCCTCTGTTGAATCACCGCTCCGTGCAGGATTGTCTGTGGATACACCCGTTCAACCGGTCGGAGATCGATGGATGCAAATAACGACGCGGTCGAGTTTACCATTTGCAAACGCGTGCTGAATGGTGTACAATTTCATTGGAACTGTAACGGCCAGGGGTGAAATAAGTGTCCCGAATCGTTTGGATTGCATAGCTGGGAATGTGGAGCACAGATTCCAGTCGGGTTTATTAGCTACCGCATAATGTTTCAGACCTGTAGGGTTGGTCCTGTCGAGAATATGGCCGATACGATATCGCGAGGTGGTCGTGGATGTTTTACGACACGCTGGGACGTTCACGGATGCTTTACGATTTCCTCGGATGCGCTCGAACATTTTAGTACGCTCTTAAATATACTTGGATGTGTTTAGATAGTCTTAAATATTGTTTTTTTTTTTTTTTTATTGCTTCAGAGGTCTGAAAATTCATACGTAAAGTGAGATACTTAAACCGGAAAGGTAAAATGTATCGTAGAATATGATTTCTAGTGACTCGCTCGTTCGCTCGAACAACGTCTGTTTCTCGAATCCCTCGTTTACGTCTCATTTAATTCTCACCCTTCCCCCCCGAGTTTCTTATCGCTGCCTCGGTTCTGTTTGTTCCCGTTTCGCGAAACTCGACAGCTAAGTAGATTAATCTCGGAGAAGGACGACTACGGTAGACTTCCGTGGGATCATGGACGAATCGTTGCTTGGCGAAATATAATCGTCGGATTTCACGAGACACCGGCCCGTTTTTCAGGTGCAGAAGTTCGATTTTCCATGGAAGTTCGATTTTCCTCGACGCGACGTTTGATTAACCGGATCGCCGTTAACTTCCACGGATACTTGACTCGCGCGATTCGTCCTGACGCCTTACAATCGATGCAAATTGTTCACCCTACTCGTCCCCTTTCCCCGTCAACAGCGAAATTGAATTACTATTTGCGTATTCGACGAGATTGAATATTTAGATCTCGCGAAAGGGAGTCCCTGGACTCGCGTCGGGACTGAAGAAGATTTTATTCCTTTCGAAATGGACGAATAATTTGTGGGAAATCGATGAAATGGCGCCCACTGGTTTCCGTCCCTTTTTTTTTCTTTTTTTTTTTTTTATTTGAAATAAATATGTTGCGACGTAGCTCTATTTTCCATTTTTTATTTTTTAGAACTTGTCGTAAGCACGGGGAACGGTATCAAGTTTGAAGAAAAAAATCAATTTTCTGACTGAACCGTAAAATTGAAACGGGACACGACCGGAAATCCGTCGCCTTAGCGAAAAGGGGAACAATGGTTGCGGGAAATTTGAATTTATATTGGACTCTCGACTCGTGACTCTCTCTCGCCTCGCGGTATTTAATTCCGTGCCGTTCTCGCCCTGGTGTTTACGTATACATTTTAAATGTATATTCATGGTGGCGAGGTTTGGTAGAAAAAATTTCGGGACAATTTTGAGTACACCTGGATGTTCAGAGCAAGAAACACGTATATTCTAATTTAATAGACGGGCTCGTAAATCGACAACAAGAAATTTCACTTTAATCTCTACCTGGCAAAAAATACTCGAAACACCACCAAATTTATTAAACAACCAATAGTACATTAGACAACAAAGAAGACTACCTTCGAGCCCACCCTACACTTTCCTCACTTTTATGGCTCGAGGTCGAATCGTTCGAGAAAAGTGATTAAACGTGCCCCATTGTTCCAGATTGGATCGACACCCTAAAAGCAATCATCGTCGAAATTTTGCGATTATCAATTCCGACGATGGACTTCTTAATCGACGACGCGGCTGGAGCAAGCCGCAATTTCCAGCAGGGAAACAATGGAGCGTCGCGAGTCGAATTTACATCGAAATCGACTCCAGAGGCGCGTCGTTTAATTCCACCGCGAAGCTTTTCCAGCGCCTATCCCAACGGCGTTCATTTGTCTTCATTATTCTCTCATTATGACGTGCCTGGCCTCGGCCACTTTTCACGCACGCGACCAACTTTCGACGAATCGCGGCTTTCGTTGGCCCTGGCTACCGCGAAACACGCTAACTCGGGATCAACGCTGGAGAGATTTTAATCGGGGCAACCGGTGACGATTACGATTAAAATGCGGCAGCACTTTTTCTACTTGACTTGCACTTTTATTCCATTAAAAGTTTCTCTCTTGCTGTTTCTCTCTAGAAAATTATATGTTAATTGTTCAATTTATATCCTTCTGAAGATTTCTTAGGTTCGGTTCAGAACTTGTATTCCAACTATTATCTTACTCGAGGCATTTTTGCAAGAAGCATTATTGCTCGTTGACTCGCACTTTTATTCCATTAAAAGTTCTTCATACCCATGCACTGTAACGTTACTGATACGTATCGAGTATATCAGAGTGTAGCAATTTAGAAAATTATATATTATAAATTGTTCAATTTTTATAACCCCTTGGAAAATTTCTTAGGTTCAGTTCAGAACTTGTATTTCAACTTGGGTTGTCCAGAAAGTTCATGCCGATTTTTAAGAAAAATTCAAAGGCACGTTTGAATTCTGATATACATTTTATTGAACTATATAAATACCATTTTGTTCCACGACCTTTTCACCTTTTAAGGGATGCACCCATGTTAATTGTTTTCAACCATTCCAATATATACACATGGTACACAGACGTGTACCACCTAGCAAAATTTGGCACGGACTTTCCAGACAAACTAATATTATTTTACTCGATGCATTTTTGCAAAAAGAATTATTCCTCCTTGACTTGCACTTTTATTCCATTAAAAGTTCTTCATACCCATGCACTGTAACCTTACTGATACGTATCGAGTATATCAGAGTGTAGCAAGTCAAAAATATATATATTATAAATTGTACAATTTATATAACTCCTAAATTTCTTAAGTTCAGTTCAGAACTTGTATTTCAACTATTATTTTACTCGAGGAGATGGAATCCAAGTGATAAGGAAGAACGGCACACCTAAATCTGAATAATTCGCGATACATTCTCATAGTCTCCTCGAAACGATACTTGTCAATCAAGCGTGAATTTGTCGCCGATATCGACCTGAATTCGCGAAGGCTCGTCTGCCATCGTTTCTGAACGGGGCGACGTCGCCTCGATTTCACGAGGCGCGGAAAACACAAACTCTACAAACTGTAGGGCGAGGGGGAAGAGTGGTCGATTCTCGACCCTCTGTGTGCATCGAGACCCGGTCGGAGAGTTCGAGATGCCTAACGTCGATACCTAAGAGCGAAGCTGGCATCTATCGGGACTCCTTATCGTCGCCGCTGGCGCTATTCGCAGTGTCTTAAGTGCTTTTCAGGCGCTCAAAAGGCGGCCCCTCTGTTAAGGAACCGGAAATTGGAGGCTGCCTATCATCGTGGCGTGACCTTAAAGAGCGAACCTCCAGAAACAACTCCGTCCAGACACCCAACTGTCAATAGAACACGTTCCTCTGTCAAACTTTACGCGAATGTTGCAATCTAGAATCGAACTGTGACTTCAACGTTATTCTTGTGCTGTTATATGGTAATGTCGATATTGGCCACCTTTGTTCTCTTATTTTTTTAGTTTTAGAATT